AAGCATAGATTACTTTCACGGTAACTTACAGTAACTTACCAGTAACTTACCATTTTGGTAACTTACAATAAATTACCAACCCTGCTTTAGGGGCATATGTAGATCGACCCTAAAAATTGGTTTAATCTGGTCAGATTTGGCCCCTTGGGGATGAGCATCCCCAAGGGCCAAATGATCTGCAAATCTGACCAGAATTAACCCAATTTTAGGGTCAGATCTACATAAATCGCCTATATTAAATGACGAAAGTCGAAAACAAAGACGACGGATAACTCAACTTGAGACCACTATTAGTGAATAAAAATAAATATGCCTCCAATTATGAATCAAGACTTTTGGGAAACATTATCAAAAGATATAAATCGAGGATTTATTGCAACAAATCGTCAAGATTTTATTCGTGCTTGCCAACAAAGAATACGAACCCCAGTAATGGATGAAGACATAAATGAAATCGATACATTTACTTATATTAGAGAAAAAGATGATTATGCCTTTAATATAGAAGTTTTATATGGTAGTTCGTGTGAGGGAGAAGTCAGACAATTTGAAAGTATGATCAAACAAATTTATAAAAATCCAGAGGATAATGATGTATATAATAAAAATTTTACATTCCCTGAAGATTTAAGAAAACCAATGGATGAACTTCCTGAATATGAATTCTATGAAGAGTACTATGATTCATTAGTTAAAAATATAAATTTAACTGAAATAACTTCAAATTCAGATCATATTACGTTTACCCCAAAATGGTTCTGGGCAAATCCACTTAACAAAAAACGACAACACTGGATGAATCTTATACGATTCTTATGGTATGCTGATTTATCTGAAGCACCCTTAGATAATAAAAATTATGATAATTTGCGTCAATTAGGCTCGTTCACTTCAGTTATCACCCGAAACAAACGAGTATATAGTCAAATTCGTATCTTTATCAAACATAGGTGGGATGTTTCATGCTTCATTACAATGGACCATTCACGCTACGCATCCAAGAAAAATTGTCGAACTATCATGAGTCATGATGACTATCAAAATTCTGAGGAATGCTCTAAGACTTGCCTTCATGATCTAGATCCAACGAATCCAAGTCCATTGCACCAATACCTAGTTATGCAATTTAATCATATCTTTACTACAACTCAATCAAGTGGTGGATTCGATTTCTCTTACATACAATTGGTTGACGAAGATAATGGATATATAATGTGCCCTGAATGTGGAATAATCATTATTTATGGTAAATCTGGACCTCATAATTGTGACAATGACGTTCCTCAAAATTGTAAAAACGGGCATATAATAGTTACAGGAGATCATGAATATAGATGGGATGCTATATTATTAAGGAAAGGGAAAAATTGGACATCTAAACGTCAAAAGTTACCTGAACACAATGCACTCTTTAAACAACAAAACCCTGATGCTACAATTGCCTGTCCTCTTAATTATGATATGCTACTTAAAGGTAGAATTATGCTTTTAACTATACCTCATGCATCTGCTTCATTTTCTTGTTTACACAATTTAGATGTCTTTAAAAGATATACTTTATATTTCTATGATAATCATGAAGAATGTATTATTAGTGTTAATGATGGTTATAATCACTTAATGGCTTATAAGAGGCTAAATGATGAGAACTAAGCAATTATTCTCTACACTCCTTTCGTCCCTTCATTATCTTTAATGATGAATAATTCCAAATTTCAAAATTTTAAACAAACAACACTTTACGACCAATATTTAAATAATTCCTAGTTCAATACCAAAACAAACTATTAACAATCAGAGAATATGTCATATCTGTTGATATGAGTGTTATTTTATAATAAAAACTATATTAAAAACATATAAATTTACTATAATCTTTAAGCTCCGCATTATTTTCGACCTACATATTACCTTATTTTCAAATTTTATAGTTAAGCATATCGAAAATAGTAGGCTAAGATTATTTAGAACACTTTTTTAAAATTTTATAAAAATTGTATATTTTATTAATCAAATTATGTAAATTTTTTATGCTAAACAATTTTACTTAGAAAATGTATAATAGTAAAAAAATAAGTTAGCTATATATAAATTTTAAATTTTTAAATTTTACTAAGAAACTTACTTTGGTTTTTTAAATAAATTTGTATAGCATAAAATTTTACCTATTTATAGTTTTTCGAAATTTGTTTTTTCGAATCTTTTATTAGAATTAAATTATATAAATAAAAAATTTTTTATATAAAATTTAATTAAATTTGTTACTTAATAGCTAACTATCAGTATTTGTTATACTAAATTTATTACAAAATACTGAATTTAATATAGTTGTAAAACTTAAATTTTGAAAAAAATTTTTATTAACTTTAAATTAAATTTATATAATATATAAAAATATAGAGATATACAAAATCTTTTTTTTTATTATGAATTAAGGAAACCTCTTTGGCCTGAAAGCTTTTATTAGAGTGTTAATGATGTTTTATATGCAATTACAATGATGATACATCAAGCCACACATGCACTTTTGGTGTCTAATTTAAGTAGTCCACCCAAAGTGATAGTGCTATGCTAAAGGTTCTACGCTATCTGCTATATCTGTACCCCAACTATAGAGATACCTATTTAAACCATCTGGTTCTAACTGCTGCCTTCAAGTCTCTAACCCTAGGTTTCTTCACTATTCGTACGTAGATTTTGGATATTATTTATAAAGGATACACTGACTGTTTTAAAACTTACTAACTATTTTTGGCTAATCTATCCTCAAAATAAACCTAACAGAGTGATACATATCTCACACATGTATTCACCTGCATGTTCTGTAACAGCTTCCTAATTAGTACATATTGACCTGCTATTTCATATTCATATCTCATGCCAGCTTTTGGGTGCTGCTGTTCTATAGACGTTTCTCAAGCACTAACTTTTCTAATTAAGCATCTATTACATACTTCTTGCTCTTATTTAGTTCACAACAACCCCAATACTTACATTTGAACAGTCTTCTTACTTAAATTTTTTATCAGTTCCTCTCTTACTTCCAGCTGGTAACCTGAAAAAGTTAGTCTGCCCAGGCTTTAGATACCTTATGGTTGCTTTTCTCTTAGTCTATACTTTTAGAGCATATAACCTTTTTCTCCAGTGTGACAACCTGACAGTTCAGCTAATGTGTTCTCCGCCATAGGACCTGGTTACTTAGTTTTCCAATTTCAAACCCCAGTTTGAATTCAGCCTTTCTGTAATACTGTCAAGAATCACTATTACCTCCAAATTCAGGACTTCCCAAATAGGTTTTCAGTTATGCTGATTTCTCAAATTTATTGTGCCAAAGCTCCCATTACTAGATAATATGACCAAAGTTATAAATTTTAGTTCTAGATTCAACTGATAAGTATAGCCATCAACTGAACACAAATCTATTTTTCAAATATTATTGCTAGTGGAATTTAAACTCTAAACCTGCCACTTGGAGAGGATAATGACTAGACCACTACACTAAGTCACTACACCTTAGAGATATACAAAATCTAGTTTAATTATATATATATAAATATTAATAGCTTGATAAGCTTTAGTTATAAATAAATAGTAGCTCTATAGATTGGGTTGCAGATACAGTAGATAGTGTAGAACTATAAGTAAAATGGCTTAAATATTAAAAAAATTTTAGTAGGCATATTTGTCCACTAAACAGTTTAAAAAATAAAAACTTATTTATTATTATAAAAAATATAAATAAACTAAGAGCAGTATTATTTATTATCTAATTTTTTTTATTAGAGGCTTATCTCTCTCTAGTTTTTAATATATAATTTATCAGATTTTATATATAAAATTTTAATTTTTTTAATCCTCTCTCTAAAAAACTACTTGATAATTATTAGCTCTCTAATTTTTTTTTTTTCTAATTTTTTTTTTTTTTCTTTTATTTATTTATTTATAATTAAATATTTTAATTTATTTTATATAATATATAGTGGATTAGAGTCTTGTAGCCTAGTGGTCTAGATATCTAACTCTCCACAGACAAGGTTGACGATTTTATTATAGCTGGTAGTAATTAATTTAATTAATTATCTCTGTAACCTTTAAGAGCTTTCAAATATGAAACCCTGTAGCAGTAAGACTATGTGATATATATATTTAGCCTATAAAAAATTCTTAGAAGGAGCCCCAAGCTGTGAAAAAGTCTAGGTATTGCATATAACATAGGTTACAGAAGGTTTACTACAAAAGGCTGTGTGTGAATCTGTAATTGGCAAGATAGCACCAACAATCCTAAAGTGGCATTGAGATCTTGATTGGAAGGACAGCTATATACAGTATATCTAGAAGTAGTGAGAGAAGCAGTGAACATAGTAAAAGGCTGTAGTAAGAGGATGGCTTTACCAAATATAGAATACTTCTAGTGCAAAGAAACAAGGAAAGCTAGCTAAAAGAAACTCCAAAAAGTATAAAAACAAGTGATCTGGTAGTATAAAAATAAAGACAGTTAGAAAGTAATGTGTCATACAACCTATATAGAAGACAATGATAAAATATAGCAGAAGCGCAGGTCTTAGATCACTGGCTTGTAACAGTGATTAAATGAGATACATAACTTCTGTTTTAAGGATCTAAACTTCTATAATACTATACTAATAGGAAGTACTATAAAAGGAGTAGTAGTCTAATTTCATTGCAGAAACCTTTAAATTTTTAAAATATAGCTACAAGATTGTAATGTGATTGTTGCAATATCTTCACAATATAATTAATAAGTCTCATAAGTTTCTGATAACAATATCAATTTTATCTTGTTACGATATCATTACGATATAAAATAATTTGTTATCTCTACTGTTTTCATAAATAATACATTGTAAATGTATTATAAATTCATTTAAGTAATTTGATATACTTTAAAAATACTATCGAATATTACTAAATATATTCTAAATATAATATGATAAAATAGCATTTATATATATATATATTTTATTCTTTGGCAAGTCTCGCTGTGACTTTGGTTTCAACTATTATATAGATGACCCTAGTACGCATGCTACTTAGAGTCACAGAACCTCTATAACCCCATACAGGTACTATGTATCCATCTGGAATTCTGTTGCCCGACATTCTCTGGTTCTTTTATTGGGCCTAAATCTGACTGCCTGCACAACACTCCAAAGAGGTCGAATCACCTTTCTATTGTACTGGGATTTCATCAGCCAATCTGGTGTCACCACGAGTTTTTGTAGTATCTTTATCAGACTTTGGCCTCATATTACGTCTCATAACTTCGGTTATTTCAAATCAGGGTTCTAACATGCCTCATTTCACAGCCACAACTTCTCTGAATAACTATTCCCCAAATACGTTTATCCATAGATATCCCGGGTTCTCTGTACTCCACGATGTTTCACTTCTGTTTTCAAATTTTCATTAATCCACCATTGGGAGGAATTAAACCAGCAACCATTTGATTTGCAACCTGGGAGCATAACTGCTATGCTATCGACCCACAGGTCAGCATTTATATTTCAATATACTACAAACGTAATTTTAATAAAAACAGTCAAATTTTTAGCAATAACATGATTGTATTTTCAATTTATTGCAAATGTAATGATTGTAAATTTCTAATGTAATTGCTAAATCTAAAATGAAATTACATAAAAAATATTATACAAATATCTAAGAGTAAATCAAAAAAATTACTTTGAAAATGTTGCAAACTGAGTATATTAAGATTTCAATCAGGTAATACAGCGAGATTTGCCGATGTAGCTTAAGATTCTAATTTATTATATATATTACTTTAACATTTATTAATAACAATAATAATAATAATGACCTGTGGGTTGATAGCATAGCAGTTATGCTCCCAGGTTGCAAATCAGACGGTTGCCGGTTCAATTCCTCCCAATGGCGAATTAATGAAAATTCAAAAACGGAAGTGAAACACTGCAGGGTACAGGGAACCTGGGATATCTACAGATAGATGTATTCAGGAAATAGTTATTCAGAGAAGTTGTAGCTGTGAAACGGGGCATGTTAGAACCCCGATTTGGAATAACTGAAGTCATGAGACGTAATGTGAGGCCAAAGTCTGATAAAGATACTACAAGAACTTGTAGTGACACTGGATTGGCTAGTGAAATCCCAGTACAATAGAAAGGTGATCTGACATCTCCGAACATTGGTGCAGGCAGTCGAATTCGGGTATCCAAAGTGGTACCAGAGGTCCGGACCAAACCCCATATAGGAAAAATGTATGCAGTAAACAGCCTTTGGGTTGGGTATATAACTGGAGAGGTTATAAGATCTTGGCAAGACTTGTCAAAGGAAAAAAATAATAATAATAATAATAATTATATTTACCAAAACTGCTAGAACCATTAGCACTGCTAGACATACAAATTGCACCTCTACAGACAGCCCAAGAAGGTAGTTTATTTATTTTGAATTTAGGTGTTTTGTTGGCTAGGCTAGAATAACGTTTATTCTCTTGATTAATATGAATACATTTATCAGGTTGAACTCGACCACTACTTTTTTCGCCAGATTCATCAACTCTTATAGCGTGATCAATTTGTTCAATAATGCGAATTGCCTGAAATTTTCAAAATAAATAACATAAGTAAAATCAACTAGTTCTTACGTAATAGATAAAGGTTTTTTTTTATATGTGATACTTAGGACTCTAAATAAGTTATACTGTATATAAAATAGTAAGTGATGATCAGTAATTTCAACATAACCAACCAAAATCGATTATGAACGAGAATCAATTCAAACGCTACAGTACAAGAATAACAATGCAGATTACCTCTTCAGATCTAAAAGCCATTTCAGGAACATATAACTTTTTTCTTCCATGCTTTTTAGATGATGCTTTAGCTTCATCTTCACTTATTTCAGGAGAAGTACAATCGATCTGAAGAATTTTGAGAACATCCTTAAAAGGATGTGAAAAAGTAAGCTCCAATGCCTTTTCAGTTCGAGTAACTAATTTCTAAAATTAAATTATTAATAATAATATAATATTAGTATATTTATAGTGAATAAAAAAAAATAATAATAAAAAAATACTTACTCTACGGTAGCATTGGCTACAACGAAGTGCAATAACATTCTCTTGCAATTTACTTGGGTTACTATCTAACAAAAGGTGTTGCTGACGCAAATAGGTAACATATACAATACATATTTTTCGAATAGCCGATGCTGTCCATGTTTCTCCTTTAGCTAAAAAAATAAATAAAAAAAAATGCATAAAAATTAATATATTAGCACAATAAGAGAATTTGTGAATCGTATGAATCCTGTATATTACTATTGTAAAAACAACAGTAATATGCAGGATTTATACGATTCACAAATTCTTTTATTGTGCTAATTCGAAAACAATGGTAGTAAATCTAGCAAGGTAAGACTAAATGAATTAGCATACAAGTTTTTGGATTTTTCTTCAATTCCGCAAGAAAAATTTTACATATTCTTCAGTGATATCTCTATTATGGGGTGCTGCAGAAGTTTCTTCTAAATTATAGACATATTCACGTCAAATATCCCTAGCAATGCTGAATTTTCTTTTTTGTTTATTTTTTGCCCAGTCTAAATGCTGATTAATTTTTATATGAATCTGTTCTCTCAAAACTAGAAGGTAATGAGATTTTTTTTTGTTTCGTTTTGCTGGTCATCCATCTTCTGTACAATCAAAGACCTCTTCAGCGTCTTCATCAATATAATCGTCATCGTCATCTTCAACTTCGTTTAAAGCTTTTTCTATACTTTTGTTAATTTCACTCATTACTTTATTAAAAGCTTTATTAACAACTTCATCCACGAATCTAGTCATATCACTAGCTATTACTTCTACATTTTCAGTAATTTTTTCACCGATAGTATCTGCTATTTGGCTAAGTTTATAATTTAGTTCAGTGCTATATTTAGAATTTTCAAGTTTTTTAATTTGATTCTAAATCTTATCTAATATAGTTAAGAACTCAGTGTTTGCCTTTTCTTGATTCATTTGGAATTCAAGAAGCTTTGTGGTTAATTCTTGTGTATCAGTGGAAAGTTCTGAAGTAACCTCTGCGAGGTTACTTACGCACATGTAGATATTAGCAATAGTGGGGCGAGTTATATCTTCAGTTCTTCGGCTCATGATGATTTATTTATAGAAACAAATATGACTTAAAAAGTATGACAATGTATTTATAAAAGTGAAAAAATAATAAAGCAAAAAGTGAACTAGGAAAAAGAAAATTATAAATCAAAGCAAAAGATGAATAGAAAAAAAATATGAATGAAGCGAAAGGTAAATATGAAAAAAAATATGATCTCTTTATACATGTACAAAAATAATATAAATATGATGATAAATATAATGATAAATATGATAATAAATATAATGATAAATATAATGATCAATTTATGATTGAATTACAAAGTATGTAATTTTGTCTTATGTAAATGTATATTAGATCATTTTCAATATAATTAATTGATACTTAAGATCATTCTATATAATCTTGTCTTATGTATGTTAGACTATTTTCAATGTAATTATATTGATACTTTAGATCATTCTCAAATGTAACTATATTATGAATTAATTAGATATATTAATAAAATTCTATTTGGAATTTAAGAGTATCCGTGATTAGAGATACTAATGAATCAATTAACTCTATTTAATAATAAATGTAATACAAGTCGGTCGGGTTACATCCCTATCTATGACAATTATGTTGAAAAAAAAATTTATGAGTTGTTATATTATTTTCGCCGGTTTTCTGATAATGAATAAATGTCTTAAATTTGTTCATTCAATTTCTATTCTATGTCGATAATTTACATATTAACGTTAATAAATTTTAAGTCATTTACTGCATCACTATATTTATTGCATCACTATTTATTGTATCACTATTTGCAATACAATGAATCCCAGGTTTAAACCAGTCAAATATGTACATACTATACGTACTAGTATATACGTACATATAGTGATAACGATAATGATAACCAGTATACTATATTTATGTTGTAGCCTGATTCAGAATCAGGATGTTGACCCCAGATTTTGCTACTATGCCCTTAATTCTAACCATTTTAAATCTCTAATTTTACAAAAAGCTGGATATAAATATAACCAATCATATTATTTTAATTTAGAAACTTATAATTTATATAAAATCAGGTGATACAGTTCTCGAGTTAAAATGCAGGGTTAGTGTAATGTAAAGATAATGCATGCAGAGTTTATTTTAATGTATGCATAAAGTATATAGTTTGTAATAAGAGACGTATAAAGGAAAAATGATGATTATTAATAGATATTTTACCTGAACAAAGTAATAAAAGATTTATCTTGTCGTGCGTAAATTGTGTAAAGTTAAACTAGAAAAAGACATCGCTGGTAAGAAAATAAGAGGAATCAATATATGATTAAAAGTAAATATATATACTTTGCTTACAATTATTAAATTAGGCAAGCCTTAATATGAGCAATCAACGTAATAGAGTAAAAAAATTCTACACACCCTTGCCTCTTCTTCGTGTTCATACAAAAGCAGCTAAAAGGTATCAAGGTTCTTTACCTATTACCCATAAGTTACCAGCAAACAAATCAAATAAACAATCAAATCATTTAAGTAATTTAGAAAATTTAAATGAATATTCAAATGATAATGATTTAAGTGATTCAGAACAATATTCAAATAAATCAAACGAACTAGATTAATATTCTAGTGAGACATACCAATACTCAAGTGAATTAGATAAAGATGTAAATTGGGAGATTAGTAAAGAGGAATATTTTTTAGATAGTGTAGATTGGGAGAATAATGAGATAAAATACTTGTATAATAATGTAAATTCAGAAAATTTGGAAGACTATGAAAACTATTTGTATGATAATAATAATGATTTGATAAATTCAGACAATGATAATGATTTGACGAATTCAGATAATGACAATACTGCTGAAGAAATAGAACAGAGTACCAAAGGATACAAACTATTTGAAAGCTAATTACAATTCTTTGAGGGGTTTAATGGAGAATATGGACTATATTTTCTGACTTTTACATCTACTATGCTTTTTTTATGGGTTACAGAGCATATGATTTCTACAACTGCCTATGAAGAACTTACCAAAATTCTTAAACATCCTAACTTCCAGCCTGAACATGTTATTGCAAATATAAGGCATTTTCGCAAATGGAGAAATAACTCCCATTGCTTAAGGTTTGGAGTCATACAGTTCCAATTTCTAAGCAGCACACACCATCAAACTCAGATCCAACAAAACCTACATATTCAATAATGCCAGCAGATTATATTGAATATATTTTTAATAATCCAACAATTGCACCTTATTTATATTTTGGCCCTGGTATTGTATGTGATGAAAACATGAATTATAGCATGGTGAACTCTGGCAAAACTTGCCTTTATTTGGAAAATCTAAACTTTGCATAAATAATAGTCAGTATTTTTTTAAAAAAAAAATCTTGATGTATTATATTGCAAATATTATA